AACCTTTTATGAAAATTTCTCAAATAGGTATGCCCACCAGCAAGGAAATAAAGATAAAGACTTTCTTCACTATAATGTATACATATCTGTAGGCAGAAAATAAAAAAAGTACACGCGCGTGAGTGTATGCTTGTGTATGGCAAATACATGTTCCATATCACAAGTTCTCATGCTATATTTTAAAGAGCCTAATTTAATCCAAGCTTTATCCTAGGCATTGCAGTGCAACAATAAATAGTGAGATTTCAAGTCTGGGTGGAAGATGGTATAGACTAACAAGTTAAAAATAAACAAGACATGCCGAAGAAGAGTGTCAGGACAGAAATTCTTTAATGTTGTGCTCAATAGTGATACGATGAGGGGCAGGAGGCTGGAGATCAGGGAACTGGAATGTAATGGGCAGGAGACACAGATATAGCGGTCTACTATTCCTAGGCACTAGGCCGAGCCTTGACTGGACTGATGAAAATCCAGGAGAGTTACAGAGTGAGCAAAGAAGAAATCCCAGGACCAAACACTGAAAAAACAAGTTCTTGAGAATCCTCATAAAAGCATGAGGAGTGAAAACAGCAAAGAGAAGTTGAATGAGCAAGTGAGACAAATGCAGAAGAGCGAACACAGGAGTCTGCCATGATGCAAGTCACTGTGACCTGGAGGAGCATCATCTCAATGGACTAGAGTGGAGTGTATAAGAATTGTGAGGCAGAATCAACCCTCCCTTAGTGCTAAAACTTCAAGCACTACTTTAATTTAAAGCGATATGATATTACTCTAATTTTCCCACAGTATAAACTTCTAACTTAATAGTTCTAGCACCTGCATTAGTAACCAGAATTTGAGAGAGCTGTTATTTGTTGTCAGAAAATGAGACCCAGTTGAAGTGATTAAAGCAAGCTATTTGCTCATGAGTAGCAGTACTTTGATTTTCTCAACACTCACAAGGTAATGTGTTCATCGATTATAGTATTCTGCACATTAACACATTTTTAAAAAGCTATGTTCAAGTTAAACATTCATTAAAACTAAGATCCATCTTTCCCTACAACAATGCTGTCTAGCAGTACAAGGAAGCAGTAGAGAGGCTCAGAACAACAGGAAGCCAATGGTTAACGCAGACACATACACAAGTAGATTCCACCTGTTATCTCACACACTTTGAAGTAGCACCCCCACCTCCTCAGTCCCGACTGCCAACAGCAGTCTATATAATGAACCATCTGTACCTTAACAGTAAGAGCCAATTGAGATGGGCTGATAGTACCAAAGAAATCTCATTTTCAAATTCATTTTCCCCCTAGTGCACTGTTAGTCTAAGTAGCATTTTTAATTGCATGATAAATCAAACATGTTGGCAAGAACTTAACTTTGTAAAACTTGAGCTTTTTAATGTCACTTTGATGGTCGTTATGGTGATTTCTTTGCAGATCCCCTGCAACAGAGGGAAGCTGACCCCATGAACCAACAAACCACTGGGAGGAAAAGCCTGAAGCTATGTGGCTTTAACAAAGAGACAGAAATCTTAGTCTCTTATGATTTGGCTGAACTATTCAATTAAGCTTTTTCAAGGGTGAGCTGTGGTCCTTGGAACAGTCAAATTAGTGAATAACTGAAAAGAAACAGGCATTCTTAGATAGAATAGGTGTGATTTCTTTTTTTTCTTACTGAAATATTAAAAGCACTCATCAGAGAAACTTCTGTTCTGGAACCAAACATCATCAAACCTTTACAAGAGCTAGTCAGTTGATCCATGTCCTTACCAAGCACATAAGGTGACAGTACTTTTTACACTACAGTACTTTTTAATGGCTATCATGAACATGATACATTTGCAAACCTTTTCTCTCTCAAGTCAAAGATATTCCTAAAATCATGCTGAACACACTTAGTACAACAGACTTCTGCTAGAAAGTCCCTATTTCATTGAACATCTTAAAGGATGAGAAAGTCTGACTACAGTGATTCTTCTATTTCCTATCTTGTAACTTACTTATTTCTTTTTCCTCCTACTTATACACAGCAGTTTCCTCGTGGGTCTGGCAGCTGAAGAGCAACTTTTCTACTTCATAAAGCTTATGTGTAAGGTAACCACAGAGAAGAAAAACTCATGCAGGGTCCCTCCTCCTTAAACTTAAAAAGGCATATAAACATCCCTGGAGAAGAAGACTGTCAATAGCCACACCTCCTGTTAGGGTACTTCCTCCCACCAAGGTGATCTCTCTATCACACTTTACCTGGCCTCATTCATTTGTCACAGCCAGCCAGTGTTTAGGGTACATCTGCCCTAACAAGCGTTGTAAGAAGCACCAGAAATAAATGGCATGCCACTCATGGAGCTTACAGCGTTGTCATAAACTCTGGCAGGTAAGCAATGGTACATGCTGTACTATGGGAAGCACTCACAAAGAGAACATGAAAGAAAGATGTGGCAGTGAAGCACTAAACAGCAGGGCCACAACCCAGGGGTGTATATGTGTCTGAAATAGACTGGGGAGTGGAGCGGAAGGCAAGGAAGCTCACTAGAATGAATGAGTGAGAACGAAGGTTAACTCAGAAGTCAAGTCAGACTTAGCCTACAAAAGCTGACACAGAAAAAACAGAAGCTGTGTGTGTGTATGTGTGTGTGTGTGTGTGTGTGTGTGTGTGTGTGTGAGAGAGAGAGAGAGAGAGAGAGAGAGAGAGAGAGAGAGAGAGAGAGAGAACTGATTAAAGCCAAATTTTCCCAACCTCTTCACAGAGCAGGTATTATTTCTATCACCATCAAGAAAAAACAAAAGCAAACAGGTGGTGGGGAGCTAGATTTTGGATATAGGCATCTAGGCCCAGGACTAGCTACTCTGCATTGTCAGATATTCTGCTTCTCAAGAGATCATGGACCAGAGAGGGCGACTGAGGAATCACTCCACAGGCTACAACATAGAAGTCTTCCTATTCTTACTGTCCAAGAAATAGCACCTGGCACTAGTTACTGATCATACTAATATTGACTAATAATATTTGAACCTGAGTGACAGATAGGTGCACTGCTGACCCATTCATTACTGCTATGATCCAGGGATGGTGTTAGTAGAGGAGACTGCTGAGGACAGAGATCCTACACATGCTCTATAATTTCTACTCAATTTTGGAGTGACCTTAAAACTGCCCTTTGAAATATTTATTTTTTTAAAAAATGAAATGATTGGGAATTAACTTTGGAGGGGGACTTGTTATTGTTAAAAGAGTTTAATGTAAGGCAGATGCAGAAAAATGATGGGGGCAAATTTAAACTATTAAGGAAACACAACAAAACATAGGACAGTAGGAAGAATGTTACACTAGCCCTCATAACCTACTGCATTCCAAAGGGGCAGCTTACATAGGAACCCAACTCCTGCAAACCCATGTGTACTATTACTGTCACACCACTCCACACTTAGTAGTGTTTCCCCTTTTTCCTGAAAAGCAGTTACATTCCAGAGCTGGGGTGAGCACTGTCCTCCACTCCCTGCATGACAGAGGAGTCAATTCTGCTATTGTTCTCAGTCCTATGTACCCTCTAATTCCTCCAAGAAGCACATCAAGATGCATAACACCTTAAGAGTAATTAAATAAATATCGCTATGCGAATCTCATCCTAATACATAGAACATATTCCTAGACTTTTACTTCTGGTTAGTATGTTCTTGGAGCAATTATTGTATGAGACATGAGAGAGCACAGCAAGGTTTTGGAAAAAGCTTACAAGTTAGCAGGTTAGTAATGGAAGTGGAGATGGGATGACTAGGCAACAGTCTTAAAACCCAGAAAGGCTGACTGGTTACTACATAGTGTTCTCAGGAAGACCTATGATGAGTCTGGTCAACTAAGTAACTGTGTAAGCTAGTCACAGCAGAATAATCAAAGTAGTTCAGTGCATCAAAGTCTGTACAAGTCTTCATATCTAAAGTAATCATTCCATTCTCTTAACTCCTCTAGCAATTCTATTCATGTAATCTGCCTAGTTGTTAGTACGTATATTCCCATACTGTTGTTGAGGTGTTTGTTTAGGGTATATGTATGGTCATCCCCATGGATAACAATACCAAGAGACGTTCAAATCTCTTATATAAAATGATATAGGTTCTATACACATGACTTACAAACATCCACTATTGCTACTTTAAATTATCTTTATTTGGACTGGAGAGATGGCTCAGAGGTTAAGAGCACTGACTGTTCTTCCAGAGGTCCTGAGTTCAATTCCCAGCAACCACATGGTGGCTCACAACCATCTGTAATGAGTTCTGGTGCCCTCTTCTAGCATGCAGGAATACATGCAAACAGAACACTGTAAACATAATAAATAAATTTTAAAAATTATCTTTATTTTATAATAACTAATATAATACAAATGCTATAGAAATAGCTGTCCTACTGTAGCATTTAGGCCATGACAATAGAGCCATATACATGTTCAGTATAGATGCTTGGTCATTAGGGAGTGGTGCTATCTGACAGGGATAAGGAGGTGTGGCTTGTTGAAGTTTTGGGATTTCAGATGCTCAAGCCAGGCCCAGTCTCTCTCTCTCTCTCTTCCGGCTGACTGCTGATCCAGATGTAGAACTCTCAGTTCCTTCTCCAGCATCATGTCTGCCTGTGCACTTCCATGCTTCCCACAATGACGATAATGGACTAAGTCTCTGAACCTGCAAGCCAGCCCCAAATAAATGTTTTCCTTTATAAGAGTTACTGTGGCCATGGTGTCTCTTCACAGCAACAGAAACCCTCACAAACACCTAAGATAGTATCTATTTTTTGTCACTAAAGGAAATGCCATCACTTCAGTTTTTATTTTATTTATATTATAATTTATTTTCAAAGTATTTTCCTCTGCAAAATAAAACTCTTTAGTAACCACAAATGGGTGTCAAGTGGCTTATTATCAATTTACAATGCGAATGTTGAACACAAACTCATATGTTATACACATTGCAGACTGCCCTCCAAAAAAATGATTTTTCTAGAGAAGTCCAATTGCCTACCTTGAAGTTCTCCACTCCGACTATAGAGTTCCCTTCTCTGTTCTCGCAGATAGGCGCTCATGCTGATAGCATGGGAGGATGATTCGAACCTACAATGCAATACACAGTACCACATGGTTAAGCCACAAAATGGCATCTAACTAAGTATTCCCAAAAATATTCTACTCTATTGTATTCTGGTATGTATAACATATCCTGGTATATAACAATTATAATTATGGCTTTTTTGGCTGTACCATAATAAAGCCAGGGACAGCTGCCCAAATCTTGGTTTATTTACAATAGTCCTGCTACTGTCCTCTTCAGTAGTATTTGAACCTTGTCCTCATTGCGCATGTCACAAAGAATAATCGTGATCCACCTCTACTTCCTTTTACCTTCAGATCATCATTACTGTCGTTGTTGTCATTGTCATCCTCTGCCAGGATGCCTAGATATACAGCAACAAGTGTACTCTGTAAAGTCTTCTAATTATGCTATTACCCAAATCAAAACCCAACGCTGACTACTGGCTGCCTCAGCAGATATATTGGCTCTTCAGAGCAGTTCTCTTCCTAAATCATTGAGTTAAGAGACAAGGGGATAGGAGCTTCTACAAATGATCAGTGACATCAAAAAAGCAAGACATCATCGGTCTCTTTCTAAATATTCTAAAAACACTGTTTCCAAATGGCTTCTAGTTTTTGTCCTGTGACATAGCACCATATAAAATATTCTCCAGGAATTGTTTACTAAGGTCAGCAACAGAGGAAACAGACTTGTGGTAAAGAATGGGTCTCTAAAAAGCTAAAACAAGGAACACAAAACAAATTAGTCATAAAGAATAGCTTACAGGTAAGAATAAAACCAAGTAACTCTGAAATAGCAAATCTTTTGATGAATAGCCGATTCCATTTTAAATCTGAGACTTTCAAAGACAGGATAAGAAGCTGACAAAAAAAGGAATCCTTCTAAGAGTTTTGCCACTAAAGGGCAACAACATAGGGAGAGAGTAACAGAGTCCATGGGATCGGTAACTAGCAACAAAAAAGGAGCATCATTTTCTTAATCATGTCTCTTTTATCCAGTCCTTGACAAGGAAGATGAATACCAAGATGAGTATCAGCCTGTGAAGGAAATACTTCAGTTACTTGATCTGCTCTCTGCACCCTACCAGGAACTAAGAGGCACAAAGAGCCGGAAGGAAGGCAAAGTGTGCAGTACTTAAAAAGTGCCACCTGCCAGTCAAGTGCAGAAAAGAAGCCACTGACCTCCGAAAAGCATGCTGACAGCTATTGATCAGAGATGGCAAAGGAAAAAACAAACTCTCCAGCAAATACTAAAGAAGCACACATTGTACAATAAGAGAGAACTTACACACAATTAACCTTGGCTAAGGGCAATTAAGGAGGGTAATAAAGTCCTTCACAGATCCGATAGAAACAGATTACAGCTCTCCACAATCTGAGTCCTTTATGACTTGACAGACTTGCTATTCATGAATTCTCTTTATGCTTGCAACAAGTCACAGATTGAGATAATTTTATACTAAAAGAGCCATGAGAGACTCTTCAGTCTCACCTCCTCATTTTATAGCCAAAGGCACTGAGGCATGCTCAGACAGAGACCTACTCAGGCCTGCATGGCTAATTAACAATGGAACCATGTTAAAAGTAAGCAGATCTGTATAACTGTCCATTTCTAGGACAAGGATGAGTTTTATTACTGACCAATAATAATAAATGTATAACAATTAAGTTTTTTTCATGTCTAACAATTAGGGGTTTCCCTTCCCCCCACCCCCACCCCTATACCACAATTTAGCCAATGCTAAATGACTGAATGTGTTTGTACGGTCTGAGGCTGAGATGGTGATGACTGAGAGTATGACCTGTTAGAACCCCAAAGCCTGCTTTCTGCAATGAGCTTAGAAGGGTTAGTGTTTATTGTCAACAAGACACTAACCTGGAGAAAGAGAATGGTAACGGAGAAGAGCCTTGATCAGATGGGCCTGTGGAGCATTTTTTTGAGTGCTAATTGGTTTAGGAGGGGTCAGCCCAATATGGGCATTGCCATGCCCAGCCAAGTAGGCCTACACTGTATTAAAAAGTTGGCTGAGAAACTCAGCGGGAGAGAGCAAATCAGTAAGCAGTGTTATCCTGTTCTTCCATAGTTCCTGCTTCAGTCTCTGCCCTATCTTTTCAATAATGGACTCATGTGGAAGTTGAAGCCAAATAAGCCCTCTCCTCCCAAATCTGCTTTTTGGTCTTAGTGTTCATCACAAAAATAGAAAGTATATAGATCAAAGGGTAAATGGAGCTTTCAAAAAAAGAAGGGCTACGGAGGAAGGAGAAAGAGAAAGAAACAGATTGAGTGGCATCAGAAAAGAAAAGTTATATGCTCCCAAAACAGGAGTACAAGGCTGAAGAGAGAGAAGGGCACTGAAATGACTTAAGCATAGGGAGGGAGGGTGTATACATACATACATACATAATATATACATACATACACATATGTACACATGCATATATGTTTTATGGCTTTTGAAGTTATAATTTATAATCAAGTTGAAAGATTAAGCAAATTTCAAAAGTTTAAAAATTAAGTAAAAAATATGAAATAAAATATATACAATGTGCTTATTTCTTTTAATCTTTTTTTTTCCTTTTTGCAAATAAAATTGTGTGATGGTTTATGAAGATCACCATTCAAATTCAGGGATGAGAACAGAATATGGATATAGCTAAACTCAGGCCATAAGCAAACTGGCCCTTGGCAACTGTAGTTCACGTGTTGTTTTTGATGTCCTTATTTGAGCATCTCTGGGAAAAACAAACATTGTCTCTACAGGCTACTGTGATTTGTTACATTGTGAAAGGCTTTTTAATTTCAACCAGCTGGAGACCGGAACTGGATTCCAGAGTGAGAGTCTTCTCCTTGTTTGTATCCTCACTACCACTTGTTAGCTGTTACTTTACATAATTTACTTAATTTCTCCATACATCAATTTTTTGTCTGTGAGGACTTTAATATTTATAGCACTAAGTAAGGAATAAAGTTTGGTATTGTTGCTACAGTTGCTAAAATTTTGTTAATTCCGAATTAAACTGCTTAATTGGAATAATTTTGATAAATCAATGTGTAAAATCTTGTACATAGAAAGCATTCTATCAGCACCAGCTAGTATTATCAACATCAGTCTTAACTTACAAACTATTAGCTATTGCCAAGAAACAGATACTCTGAGCACATGGCTGTAGAGTTCACTAACATGGTAGTCAGGAAAAAATTAAAACCTTTTGGATTGCCCCATTATTAAGGATCTAACCACATAAAGCCCAATAGTGCATAACTTTATTAACAAAGGTTAATTCTTGGCACTTGGGGCTTTTTCAAGGATGACATATTTCATTTCCTATAAAATTCTTCAGAAACACCTGGGAAGCTTCACTTTCCTTAATCTTGTATAAAAGTCGCCAGAACCCAGCTTGAACAATGTACTCAGTTATAGATAGTCCAACAGTCATTCTGAAACAGCCACTCCACCTGACAGAAGCAACAGAAAACAAAACAGGATACGCTCCCTTACTACAAACTGCTTCAAGGCAGCTTCAGCTAGGAAGTGTGTGGCTGTGGATGACATAGAAGCCCTCCTGCTCAGAGCTGACTCTCCACAGCTTGCTGTCTCTCTGATACTGGTATACTTACTTGAAAAGAGAATTCTTTGGCCTTTGTGGTTTCTTCTTGGCAAAAAAGGCTGCGAACTCCCGTCCAGTGCTAGCATAGCTTAGCTGAGCTGATGGTTCTGATGCAGTACGTGTGTTTTTCATATCCAAGTACTCAGTCAACAGCATCTGTACAATTAGATGAGCAGTTGAATTTACACATGTGCTAATGTACAAATACAATTCTAAAGCCTCATCCCAGACTTCCAGAATATATTCATTCTCCTAGTCAGAGATATAAGGAAAGCTCTATTACAGCTATAAAATCATATACTTGTTAGTAATTCACAAGGAACAGGAGGTTGTGAGCATTGGAACACGCCAAGTAGCATGCTGAGTGAATTAGTAAAAATTCTTCTTTACTCAGCATTTAATCCTCATTATTCCAAAGAACAGCAGCATTAGCAGCAATGGCCTAATATTTAGTGAGGGCTTACTGTGCTCTAGGCAAGGTACTAATCTATTTAGATGTATTAGGTTGTGGGGTTCAGAGAGGTTCCAGAGTTGCAAAGTAGTCCCTTGTGGACTAATGCCAGAGTCCATGCTGTGACCCTTCATTCTGCCAGCACTGTAGATAAGCATGCCAGCAAACCTATCAAGGAATGTCTAGGAAGTGGGGCTAAGAAGTGAGATGCTCCCAACCTGCAAAGACTTACTATGACTGCTATTCACCTTAAAAAGAGGAAAAGAGAAACTGTTTTTGTGATCAACTACTTCCAACAGGTATGACTTATAAAATTCACCATAGAGCCACAATGTAAACACATTCATTAAAAAAATACAAATTTGGAACAGAAAGCACAATAGTTCCTAAGAATACCTAATAAAGATAAAGCAGTTAAACTCATTTCTATCTTAGAAAAACCACCCATGAGTCAAGGGATTGTTTTTCAGAGACTCAAGGTCTCATCTAACTATTTACTCACTCACTGAACATTAAACTCTATTTTAAATATCATCATCGAAAAAGCATTTCTGAAGTCAAATGAGCATTACTTAGTAAGTTTGAAGGTGATGAAGCTTCTTCCACAAACACACACACACTACTCAATACTTGAACATCTGAAATTTTTTAAATATTAGCATTCTTTTGAGTCTCAAATCTATGAAGTCTGAATTTCTATTTTGTACTTGAAGAAGTGGAATTAGTGATAGGTCTTAAAATTGCAAAGGGACCAATTTCACCTGGATTGAGTAACTTTAAATCCTGCATTCATGACTAGGATGCTCAGCAGTGCTGCACAATCAAACTCTTTTTAAGAACAGTCCTACAGGTAGCAATAGCTTCTGTACAATAAAAATGGTACAGGAAAACCATAAAATATTCTAACAGGATGGGAAAATGCTGTACTGATGTGACCATTGGAGTATTATCCAGTAGGTCCATGAAAATATAGTAACAAATATCACCTCTGATAAAGATCACTGAACTATCTGGTATCAGGAAGACACTGAGTTGAGTCTCTATGGAGAGCTCAACTGAGGAACTTGATCAAGCTGTAGATTGTGATAGCTGCTAGTAAGATACTCAGCTGTGATCAAAAGAAAGCTAGAAAACTCAAAAATTATTTAAAAGTCATACAGCATAGAAAGGTTTCTTACCAACTCACTATGTCAATCAAGCTTTGGCCTTAATACCAATATAACAGAGAATGTCTCCTGCTAAAACAAAGTTACACTAAACCAAGTAATTCTTGTAAGGCACTTAATGTCCCAGTATTCAATAACTGGCCTGAACGATAAATCACTGACCAAGGAGGCATAACTAACGGGCATTCCCCAAACCCAGGTATCTTAAGATCAGTGTTCTTTTTCTCCACATCAGTAGCACACCTGAATTATAGCCTTGCAGCACTGTTCGTTGGGCTATTTCTCTCCACCACTTTATCTCTATCTACAAACAGATCCTACTTCCATCTTCTCAACAAAATTTACCTCCAGTCATTATGTGCTATCTATAATCTTTAATTCGTTTTTGTCTTCAAGTTCCAAAGTTTTAAAAGTAGCCTTCACATCTGTTGTTTCTTTTGCCATGATATGGTTTACTGCTGATGTCTCTCACAAATTATATTCTCATGTGTATGAGTGATGCTTGACATTACTTAGTACAGTCATATTTCACTGAAAGAAACAACTTTGCTAAAACTTAAATCATTTTCAGATACAAATAGCTATTCCTTCTGCTGACTTTTTATTTTTACAGACTTTTTTATCACCTGTCTCTGGGTTTAAATGCCGGACTGCTTTAATAATTTTTAATTATAATATAATTAAATAATTTTCACCTTCCATTTCCTCCCTCTAACATTTCCTAGGCACCCCCATGTTCTCTATATGAATTTGAATATTATATAATGATATATATTCCTGAATCTTCAAATACAACCTGCTCAATCAATATTATGTTAGCTGTGTGTATATGTGTATATGTATATGCAAAGTATGTGTGTGTGTGCACACACGAGTGTGATTATGGAGCTGATAATTAGACCGACCCAACTACCCAGGGCTAGTAAAATCACAAATCTCAGAGGAGATTCTATTTACTAAATTCTATTTACTAAAGCAGCATAATCCCTAACTACATTCTAAATATTTATCCTTTTTTCCCACTAGTGTAGGAAAAAGTGTAGTTCTGATCTCTCATCACAGTAATTTCTCTTTGCAACAAATGGGGATCATTACAGAAAGCCGTAACTGATCCAAATGTAGAGAACAAGAGATTGTGTGATGCCCAGCCCCAACTGATACATCTAAAACACAGTTCCTGCACCTTGAACTGTCTTTTGATACACTCTCACATGCTTTCATCTATTAATGAGTCTGTCTTACCTCTTTATTTGTTTACCCATTCCTGTCTCCTCTGACAGCTTAGTTCATCAATTCTCTCCTTCTCTTACTATTCCAGTACTGCCAAACATAACTGACAGATCATCCAACAATCTGGCTTCAAAATATATTTCCTTTGAATTGTACTTTATTCCCCCAGTCTACTTATTTCAATTCCAGTCATGTCCACCTACTTCAATTCTTCCCTGGATATATACATGCCTTACTGTTTCTGGAATCCTAGTCTAGATCACCCTGGCTCTAATCAACAAATCCTTCTGAGAGTAGTGCCAATGTATTCTCTTTGGCAACTCCTTTTCAGGAGACTCTCAGTCAGCTAATCCCTTTTCTGAATCCCAAAAGCACCATTTTCCACATTGTTAAGTAAGTAGCCACCAAAAATTCCATAATATTGTTAGCCCTTAATTTATATGGCTCTTAAAGCATTATATTTCTTTATTTCTACTATAGACTCATGCAACAAACAGCACTATTTATACATTGAATTTAGGTATAAAAAAATAGTAATACATAGGTTGCTATACATGAGCTGAAAAGTAGGAAGCATAGACAGTGTACAAAGCAGTCCTCAATACACAAATATGTAAGACAAGTAAAATCCAAAAGGAATAGGCATGATCTGAACCACAGGCTAAATGGCTGTAGCATTAGTTTGCTCCATTGTGTTTTACTGTGTTTCCAATCCCATTTATTGTATATATATATATATGTGTATGCAGATATAGATATAGATATACATATTGTGTATGTGAACTAGCTAGAAAGCAGATTGATTTAAACCAAATAACATTTTCTTTTGATCACAAAATCAGGAAAGGTACATTTTTAAATATCTCAAAAAAGAATATCTAGCCTTTAATCCCAGCAGATGCCTAGAAAGTAAAACATAACTAGTAGCATGGAATACAGCTCATTGGCAGAATGTGTCCAATCCCAAGCATCAAAAATTAAAATGAAATAATAAAATTACAGAATTTCCTGATGATTCTGTATCTTGGTAGGCAATGAATCGTTTATTCTAAATTGCATACACATACTTTAAGTACATACCCATAAATCCAAATTTCTATTTTATCAAAGCCATATGAGATCAGAACATATAAGATCTGGAACAAAGATCATTACATTTAACATAAAATGCATCCATCCAACAAAATCAATACAAGATAATCCCACATTCCTCAGGTTCCAGACCCCTTCTTACTTCAGGCACTAATATCCTTTGTAATTTTAAATAGCAATAATAACTTTTTATTGATCTAGAATTCAAAAGCAAAGTGGAAGTTTATGGGTATTTTGCATTTAACTTATAAGGCTTTAATGTGTCAAACTGAAGAGAACAAACACAAAGACACAGTTGGAAAGAACATTGAAATCTATATATCTTCAAATGATACCATGACTCTCTATATTTTTTGAAGCCCTGGAATGCTGAGTGGCTCCCTCCACAAAGCAAAGATACACACAGTTGTAAAGAATATAGAATTTAAGCTGGACGGTGGTGGCACACGTCTTTAATCCCAGCACACAGGAGGCAGAGGCAAGCAGATCTCTGTGAGTTCGAGGCCAGCCTGGTCTATAGAGTGAGATCCAGGACAGGAAAATATATATATATATATATATATATATATATATATAATATGTACACATAGAAATTAAGGTAGGCAATTCTGCTACTGTACTATCAGCAGTTGCTACAGTGTTGGTAGCAATTGTTGTTAGGAATCCCATGATGTAAAGGCAGCAGTGAAATTCTGAGACTTAAAAATTGCTGAAACATTGGTAATATACTGAATGACTCCTCACTCATCGTTTAATCTTATTTATTTAGCATATTGCCTATGGGAAGTTTGTAGTTATGTATGCACAGTTTTCTAAAAGTAAATATGGAATTTTTAGGCTTAAAATTAATATGACTCCACATACAAGGAGAATGCCTTTCTATGTGTGAAGAAAAAAGGCTTTGACATTTCGGCTTCTTGACGTGGTATTATCTCCATCTTCTTTTCAGCGTTCTTTGTGCAGTGATCTTTTTACTTAACTTCTTTTGATCTTATGACAACAACTAACTGTATTTATCTTGCATTAGATGTAAGTGCATAGCACCTTGGTGAATAGGTAAGATTAGTATTAGTCATCAATACGCTCACAGTCAAATGGAAGATAATTCCAAAAGAGGCTACCCAGCCTTTTTCCTAACATTAGGTTGGTGGTAGAAATAAGTATTTCATATTCATATGGTGAGGAAATGAAATATTCAAGAAAATTGCATTTTTAAA